ACCATTTTTTTCCCCTTTTCACTCATGAAAAATTTTTTTGAGTTGAAATGGTATAAAAAGATTTGTTGGGGCTAATTTTTATGATAAAAAAATCAATAAAAGAGGGAGATAAGAAATGATGGGTTAAGGTAAAATCTTTAGGAGTTTTTTTATGGCGCTTAAAAAAAAAATAGAAAGAGGGTTTATCATAAAATAATACGAGAAATTAAAGTTTTGTACGAATTTTCGTAGAAAGCTTTCCCTTGTTACCATCCTATAAACTAACTAAAATTCCACGGAAAGCACGACATTTATGCATAGGCTGCATGGGCCATGCATATCAGAATTAAGACAGGAAGAATGGGAAAGTTTTATTTTACAGTTGGCGCACTAATATGGTAAAATGTATGACAAGTGGAGTAAACTATTACTGTAGTAAAGGAAAGTGTCTTGCGCCACCAACGTACGGTACATGTTAGGATTCACTAACCTTAATCTCCATCATTCATTATCAGGCAAGAATGGTGGGATGTTCTGGTGATACACCTTATGGATTATATACAATGAGATGATTTACCTTTGGTATATGAAGGTTACAATTACTTACAACTATCATATATGAAATATGATAGCTTGGGTGTCTTACAAAGTTCTAAAAAATTTATTTTGAACTTTGAGCTTAGTCAATAAAATAAATCTAGCCACCCAATTTCACATCTAATAGTCAAGATCAATAATGACCACCTTGTACCAAAAATAGTAGATGGTCTTATTATATATTTTCCTCATATAATATACATAGCATCCGGTATACTTCACCTTACACCTAAAGTCCAAGTGCCTCCATATTATCATCCTTTGCGAATATCGATGATTCAAAAATTCCCCCACCTGATTGATTGAGTTGGATCAAAAAAAGGAGGGGATTTTAGACTAGTTGTTTTTTTCTGTCAAAGAAATCCCCAAAATCCCTCGATTTTGTGAGTCACTTTTTTTTTTTTCAATTTTCTTTATCAACTTAGCCTCGTCCGACTCAAGAATCATTTGAGTTTTGACTCCGAAAACAGGAATCATATCCTAATCGGGTAGGGCTCCGTTCCGATTTTCTAAACACTCGAAAAAACTATGCAAAGAGAGCTCGTAGTGTATGTGAAGCCTTCTCATGCAAAACACGTGTAAAAGCGAATTCAACTGTCCCTTAGCCTTATTCAATGATAGAAAAATAAGAGCCTTGTTTAATGAAATTAAGGTTAAGGTTACCAATATTAGTCGTACGTTACCGTTAAAAAAAAATTAAAGTTACCAATATTTTAGCTTAGGCAAAAAAGCTGTTTTGTCTCCTCTAATCTTGAAATTCCTTCACATTTACGATCTCATGCAGGTGCCTTGTTGGATCCTATGATAAATTAAATTATTGAAATTTTTTTTTAAACATTAAATTATTGGCACATCTTCTTACTTTTTTGCATGGTGCAATAATGGAATAGTGGGCCCAAATTGGTCCCACCCAAATAAATATTAATTAAACAAAAGTGGATGGTTGGCATCCAATCAACCAAGCGTAGTTATGTCCGGAGGCTGATCCAACGGTTCTCCCATTATCAAAAAGCCCTTCAAGGCAATCTGGACCCTACATTCTCTAGATAATAACTATAAAGGTGTGCTTTCTTCACACATGTGAGACATCACTTGGGGCTTAAAGAGATATTGTGAGCCCCACTCACCCATGGAATAAAATAAAGACTAAACCCCTTGGGAAGGAAGGAAGTGGATTCACTAGCCCTTTATTCATCTCCCATCTCTTTGTATGGCTATATAAAGAGCATGCCTAGGTGCCCATGAGTTTGCTCAGTGTTAGTGTTTTGCATGTGCTAGTGCTTGAGTTTTTCAAGAATAAAAGAAAACAAGAGCGAAGGACAATGGCGGAAAGAATGAAACCGGCGAAGGGGGAGCGCCATCTCTTCATTGCCTCAGATGATGCTGCAGTGATGAAACAAATCCTGGCCACCCATTCACCCGATGGACGGGAGATCGACGTCAAACCTCTAGTGCAAATCGTCGAGGACATCCTCAAACATACTACAATCACCACTGTAGTAGTAAGTTCTCTTTCTTTTTCTTATTTATCTGACTATAAGTTGTCCCTTATACTCATCGTCATCATTATCAATAATAACAAAAAAAATATACAATACAATTGTATACTTTTAGTACCAAAATATTACAATCACTCATAGCTGTTAGATATGAAACTATATGGTTAGCATGCACGATTTTTGTACTCAAAGTACAAGAATTTTTTTTCAAACTTTATGGGACATCTTTAGCTGTTAATTTTCACAATTATTGATAAAAATTGATTATGTATAAAAGAGGAAAGGTCTTATAGTATACAATCCCTCTAATAACAATCTTAATGATGATTATATGGTGGGATGCCACCCCATCATAAGAACCAATTTCCCTGTTGCATAGGTGTGTAGAGCTACATTCATGGCCCTAAAGTTGCTTGCATTTAGATGAGGTAGAGATGACTCCCACTTCACCATCATCACTATTATTATACTATACTTTTGTGATTTATCATAATGGCCATCATCATTGTTTAGTAGAGACTGTAAATGAGGAATGAGACTAAGTAACCATGGAAATGTTTGAATGTGCATTGAAAGCATCCCCAAACAACTGTGGAGTTATTGGAGGACAAGGCTCACACCGAAAGAATGATAGGAATGCTTGAGGCCCTTGCATATACCATCCACAGGATTTCATGCGAGGTAATCTCCTCTCTCATATTATTATGGGATTTTTTATGTGTATTCCCTTTCTATTAAAAAGGCCTTGACCCCCTCTCCCACCTTATTTTGTGGCCCAAGCCCTAGTTTTTCATAGCAGTACTGATTAGGCCGAACTAGGCCAAGTCTAGCCCTAGTTAAAAAAAGACTTTCATAGATTTGAAGTTAGCTTTCCGAAGGAAAAACCAGACTCGAAAATATCAGTACATTGTGCTATTTGTTTGCTAATAAAATGATGAGTTCGAAAAATTGCAGATAACTTGCAAGTGCTCAGGCGCTGGTGATGCCCATGCTACCACATTGACCTTATTCAATTCACTAAGCAATTATTCATGGGATGCAAAGGTGGTATTGGTTGTAGCTGCCTTTGCTACGAGCTATGGAGAATTTTGGCTCACTGCACAGCAGTCCACTGTAAATCATCTTGCGAAATCGTTGTCGTTGCTTAAGCAATTGCCAGACCTTTTTGAACACACTGAGGCATTGAAGCCACGGTTCGAAGCTCTCAACGCATTGGTTAAGGCGATGCTCGATGTGACAAAATGCATCATAGAGTTTAAGGAATTGCCTGTGGAGTACATCAACGCTGATACTCCGGCGATGACTACGGCCATGAAGCACATTCCTACTGCAGCCTATTGGACCATTAGAAGTGCAGTAGCATGCGCAACGCAGGTTATTGGCCTTATTGGGATGGGTCATGAGTAAGTGCAAAACACTTTTTTTTTTCCATTTACTTGTGAAATTTCATTGAATAAGGTTAATATATTTATATATCTAGCATTGAAAGTGCCTGCTTGGCACATAAAAGGGGGATGCAGAATCAGGTTGGGTCGACTCGACCTGGGTCTAACTCTGGACCCTGCAAGTGGTGCTTGAGTCCATTTGACCAGGACCTGTCCCTTGTCAGGTCCGGGTCCATCCTTGACCTGACTAAATCGGATCGTATAGGGGGTCTGCGTCGACCCGAGCCATTTACACCATACATGAATGGCTCTCTGTCTCTATCTAAGAAATTAATCCAATTTTTATGTTTTAGTTATGCAATTTCGACTTCGGAGACTTGGGAATTATCAAGTTTGGCCCATAAGGTGAACAACATTCATGGCCACTTAAGAAAGCAATTGGAATATTGCAATCAGCACATAGGTCAGTATTAAGTTCCATGAATGCCGTTATGTTTGGTTTTCTCTCTGCATCTTATACCAGTGTATTCAGAGTCGAGTCTACTTGGATTTCGTTGAGTTGTTCGGACTTGGCCCCTGTGCTACAAGGTGTATATATTAGAAAAATAGAAAAAATCCTAAAAAATATATAAAAATAGGGGATTGATGTATAAAATTATTGTATGTAATTTGGATTTTTTGGCACATATAGGTAATTTTATTTTCCATACCATTTTTTTTTTAGATTTCTTTTAAAATGTCTCCAACTATAAATCATTTTTTTAAAGACCAATTTTTTATATAACTTTTTAGGTTGTTTTTGGTTTATTTTACCTCTAAATTTTTATTTTAATATTTTATTTTTTTTAAAAAAATTTCAAGGGCTTTTTGGACTTGTACAGTTCAGCCACGTGGACTGGCCATGTGCTAGGGACGAGTACCTGGCCCAAGGCGAGTCTGAAAACCTTGTCTTATACTATGACCAAATAGAAGCCATAATGTGCCCTTTAAGTTTTCTTTTGCAGTTTTCAAGGGTAAAGGAGAGGAAAGGAGGATAGGAGGGTCTGTTAGGTAGGTTAATTGGGTTGGTAAGTGGACCTCTACATGTTATTGATCTTGATTAAGAAAGATGGTGAAGCCGTACAAATTATGTTTAATCTTATGGGACTAAGCCATAGAGAATGTTTAGCAAATGTAATTATACGCAATTAGTTGATTTTTGAATTGCAAAGACCCCAGTGTAGGATGACTAATTCATTCAAGTAAAAGGAGAACTTAGAAGCAAAATTGCAGATTATCGTTGAGTGAATCTTATGGAGATAACCATGCTGATTGTCAATAATTTGTCGAGGTACAGATGAAAGGCGAAATGTAGAAGCTTATCACTCCCTCCAACGCCTTTTTGAGATGATTCATATCGACAACCAGAAGATTCTTCGTGCCTTGTTTTGCTCAAGGGATGAAACACCCCTTAGGGATGGCGCCTCACAACGAAAGGTTTGTTTCAATCTGTTCGTACTCCTTGTGCTCTTAGTAATTGGATAATTTTTATCCTTACATATAATTCAATCATTTCATTTTACTTTTAGGTTCAGTAGTGCAGCTTCTTTTGATCTAAGTGAGTTGTGCTTGATGGCTTAACCACCAAATTTCAATACAGGTTAGCGTCGATGTATTGAGAAGGAAGTTGGTGATACTCTTTGTCTCCGACCTGGAGATAGCCCATGAGGAATTGCTAGTTCTCATGCAGATTTACAATGACACACACCACAGCAAGACGGATAGAACTTATGAGGTTGTTTGGGTACCTATGGTGGATAGAACAGCTCCATGGAATGAAGCAAAAGAGACCGCATTCAATCATTTGGCAAACCAAATGCCTTGGTTCTCATTGCACCACCCTTCTTCACTCGAACCTGCGGTGTGGAGATACATTAAGGAAGTATGGCATTTTGAGAAGAAGCCAATTCTAGTGGTCTTAGACCATCAAGGAAAGATTGTGTGCCCTAATGCACTTCACATGATATTGATATGGGGGGCAACAGCTTATCCTTTCTCATCTGTTAGAGAGGAGTCCCTTTGGAAGGAAGAGACATGGAGATTGGAGTTTTTGGTGGATGATATTGATCCCTTGATACTGTCATGGGTAAGATCTTTTACATTTTATAGTGGTGCTCTTTCTTTAGGAAATGAGGGAATAATTTGAAATGACGTAATGTCTATTTTTGAAAAATATGATGGTGTTTCTTTCTGAGTCGTCCGATAAATATTTGCATCACTTCTTAATGTTCTTCTTATCGTTAACAGATTGGTTTATAAACCACGCTTGAATATTCTTCATCCTTGTTAATGAGTTCAGGATGAATTATCTAAATTTTGAAAATTTGGTTCCAAAATCTTCGAAGAAGATGTTAGCTAGAGACTTAATATAAAATTTAAGCTTCACCAGCATGAAATTGCAAGCCTTTTTATCCCCAATTTGACTGAAATAAACTAAATATCTTTTTATCAAGACAAAGAATTCAAACTCTAACCCCTGTTCTGATGTGCATTTCAAATGAGTTAGGACTTAGCAGATAGTAGCCTTGCCTGTTATGTGTGCCTTGCTATCAACACACCTACATATAATATGAAACTTTAGTAAAAAGGAAAACTCTGCCTCTTAGTGAGACAAAGAAAGTTAACCAATTAATCCACATCACACTCCCATCCATAGTAAAGACATGTAACTTCCACTTTATCATAAGAGGCATTTGTATTTTATGAGAAAAAGTGGACCACAAAGCTGAAAGGTAATTATTGTACCCTACTAGATGAGGAAATGCATTAAACAACACCATTTTGTAAAAACTTTTGATTTACATTTTGATGGAATATTTTTCATTTATTCTAGGAACCATACATGTGTCGATGTGTGTTTCTTCCTCTCTGTATGTAAACACGCACAGAATGAACTAGTAGATAGGTCTATGCAAATTGGAGCTCTGAGATTTGTTAAAGTTCTTGTTCTTTATTCAACTGCAGGTGAAGGAACCAAGAATCATTTGCTTGTATGGAGGGGAAGACACAGAATGGATCCGGGCATTCACCAGTTCAATCAAAAAAGTCATACAAGAAACTCGAGTCCCGATTGAAATGGTGTATGTGGGCAAGAGCAACCCTCGAGAAAGGGTGAGGAGGATCATAAGTGCCATAATCCAAGAGAAGCTTAGTGGATATTGGTCAGACACCATGATTTGGTACTTTTGGGTACGCCTAGAGAGCATGTGGCACTCTAAGAGACACTATGGTAGGACCATTGATAACGATCCCATTGTCCAGGAAGTCATGTCCATGCTTAGCTTCGATGGGAGCGACGAGGGTTGGGCTGTAATGAGCCGAGGCTCCACAGAGATATTGAAGACCTTAGGAAAGAAATTAATGGAATGTTTATCTCACTTTGATACATGGAAGGCTAATATCACAAATGTGGATACATTTATACCAGCTCTCAGAGAGGCTCTTCAGCCATACCATAAGCCAGAGCACTGCACTCGCCTTATTCTTCCCGGCACCACCGGTCCTATACAAGAGAAAGTGGTTTGTGCAGAGTGTGGGAGACAAATGGAGAAGTATGTGCTCTATCGTTGTTGCATGGACTAGGGCACTCTTTCCATGGGATCAAGACTACTTATTCAGGCTTTTGTTTCTATGATGGGTTGCTTGTGTGTGTGTGTTTGTTTTGTAGACAGGTGTTTGATGGCTTTTGCTAGCGCTTGTTTTCCATGTGATGTGAGTGCTGAAAATTTGTGTGATGGTGTGCTTTGTTTTGTGGGGTGAAGATAATGTTGTCTTCTTGCTGTGCCTTTGAGGGCAACAATAAATTTCGTTGTATTTCCCCCTTGCTTTGAACTTTTGAAGTGACATTTTTTTTGTTAGTGGTCAAAATTACTCATTTCCTTTGTACTTGACTTGAATGTTGTAATTGTCCTGGGTTACTGATGGAAATAAGCAACTTTTGGTCTCCTAGTCATTTATTTATCAGAAATTCATTAATATAAGTTGAGTTACTCAATCATTGTGAGAAAATTCTATATTTGTACCTTGAAATTTGAAGTGGGACCAAGAACCATGTATATATACTTTATTTCGATATTTTGAATTACCATAATCATATTTGAATTTACAATTTAAGACAAAGAAGGATCCGTTATAAGGGACGAGAAGTTTATTTTGAAGGAATTGTGTACAAAGAGACCATTTACTTTTTGTACAAGGAGATCACAAGTATTCTCACTCATTAGATGTCAAATTGGATGGCTTAGGGTGAGTCATGAAGTTCGATAATTTTTTTGTGATTTTTGCATCTAATCAATAACACTCTTACAACCACCCATTTAAAATCTAAGGCATAAGAATGATGGTGCCTCCTTATACAAATGATAAATGGTCTCTTTGTAAATAATCCCTATTTTAAATTTTTTTTTATATATATACGCACCCCAAACTACCCTAGAAAAAGTTGTTCAGATTTTGCAAAACCCTCTTATTGATCATGTTGACCATAAGATGTATGAATATGAAAAAAAGTCATAAAAATAGAGCATCAATTATCTGGACTTCTCGTTTTCAATATTTTCAAGTGTTTATCGATTTGCTCGATCAATATGACTTTTGGAGCATTAAATTTCATAATTAGAAGTGGAAATTGATTTTAAGCTATCACAAGAGTTTCCTGCACTAGAATGACATCTTTCAATATGGTTTGGAGCTGCGCCTTACTTTGGTTCTTAAGATTGGCTCATTGTACAAACCACATTCTAAAAGAAAAACATAATAATTCCCAATTTGTAGCATTGTAGTACTTTAACTACAGAGAAAATAAACCCATCTACGCCACCTCCACAATGATTCCCTTGGAGAAAAAAATTAATATAGAACCAATACAAATAATTACCATATTTGGTACCATTACAAATAATTACCATATCATCATTGGTATAAATTGTTGAGCACATCAGCATAATAATTACTGTAAGGGATTGTATAAGAAATCTTACTTTTTGAAATTTGAGTCTAGTCAATAACATATAACCACCCGATTTAACATTTGACAAACAAAAGTGATTGTGACCTCATTATATTAAAAATTAATGATCTCTTTGTGTACTTTTTCTTGTTATAAATCCTAAGTTTCATCAACCGAGAAATGAAAGTAAACAAAAGCTAGAAACTGATTTTCCCTTAAACAATGTTAGTATAACAATAGATATGGGCTAGAGTATTTTATAGTTGATGTTAACAACATTACATCTTAAGTTTGATCCAGTCACTAAATTACCAAAAAAAAAAAAGACACTAGGAATATGATTTTATTTCTAAAGATCAACAAAGACAATGCTAGAAACAGGTTAAGAATAACAAAAGGAATAAATGAGTTTAAAAAGACCCATATGGGATACCATAATCCAATGAATATAGGTGGAAAAGAAGATGGAGGGTCATATGTGACATTTGGTTTGCAAATATACCTCATATAACCTTTGGAATATATCATACACTTCAGAAGGATCCAGTTCTTTTATCTATATGAATCAATGGTTTAAAAAACGGATCGGTGACCCGGATCGGGCTTTCAAAAAACCGATCCGGATCGGCGAATCGGCGATCCGGATCGGGAATCGGGTGAATCGGTCAGAATAAAGCTTAAAAAAAATTCGAAAAAAATATTAAAATTCATTATAAATATT